AATGGGATCTCCTAAGTGTTAGCACCGGGGGCGGCGCTAAAAGGACGAGGGGGCTATGTAATACTTATGTTGTTTTAATGTGCCTTTCAGGGAGGAGGCAAGCAGGAAATTCGAACCTGGTAACTGGATCGCCCTCTCCCTTACCTAGTGACTGCGGCTCCCCTCCTTCTTGAATATTGTATTTTCCCTATACATCTTGTCGTCTTTAATAAAGATGTCCAAAGTAAACCAACCGGGCTTGTCTAGGAACGCTAGGAATCGGGAAGCGGAGACCGAGGAGTCTCGCTCCACACTACGATTGCATACGGGAGGATAATAAAATTTATTCATGATACTCGATTAGTCTGTCCACTTGTGCTACATGGCACGAAATCCAATCACATAAAACCTTTGGTGGTGGATTCTTAATGTAATTCGGTATATCGGTTAATCAAATTGACTGGTTTGTTCATTCTTAAAGAGCATTTAATAAGTGGGAATATAAAATCGCGTGTTTTTTCAACACTGTTAGTCAAATAGATCAGGTAAAGCTCCAGAGAGCTACAGTGGCCTTTGTGACATATCTAACAAAGTTTCTATTAGTAAAGGGGTGGCTAATTGCATTAGTCTGAAATAGCAGCTTATGATGTTGTAATTCTAAAAGAAAGCAGAAATAACTGCTGTTTAAGAAGGCAAATACGTTTTTGAAATTCATTATTGTTTGACACATCTGTTTTTGTGAGATATTTAACAGAGTACCTTACAGAATAATACTAACAAAATGCTTTGTTAAAAAAGCACTTGCGTCAAGGCTATAGTATGAAAAATAAAAAAATTGCTTGAGCTGAATTTGCCCGAAAAATAAAGTAAATTCTATGCTTGTTTTTTAAATAGAAGAAATTTCAATACCACAGAAACAAGTTTTTCCTTTGTTTGTTTCAATTGGTGACACACATTTCGCAGAATCATTACCCAGCTGAGTTATGTCGGATTCAGACGGTAGCTGGCCTCTCATGCTTGTTTTCATATAATACTGCTTTATGTTAATTCTTATTCTAAGCTAACCAAACAACATAGATGTTACAATCTTTCGAACTGTTATCCCATTTTGCTCCCTTAGGTCTTGTGAAGTACTACGTCTCCGATAAATTGGGCGACGACAAGCTCGGAGATGGATTAAAGGCGACTCCTTTCATAACCCTTCGTCGTCTGTTCGAGGCTGCGAATCGACGACATCATGCACGAGTCTATCTACATAGATGAACCCGATGCAGAGGAGCGTTGGATAACTGTGCCCCGTTCTCGCCTTAAAAAAGCGTATAAGAACTACAAGCTATCTCTTAACAAGGCAGGGAATGCAACGTCAACTGCCACTCCTTCAACTGCGAGTGCAGTAGAAATTAAGGAGGACCTCACTCTCCCCACTGCTATTCGTGTCAAGATCCGTGATTTAGGTGAATTTGTCGGCAAACGGGTCCAGGTTTTCGGTTGGGCTCACAGAATCCGCCGTCAAAGCAAGCAACTCATGTTTATTATTCTGCGTGACGGCACTGGACTTCTGCAATGCCTTCTCGCAGGAGATCTACCGCGCACAGCTGATGGCTTGACTCTCTCCACAGAGTCATCAATTTTTGTAAAGGGTGTAGTTTCAAAGGTGCCAGCTGGTCAGAAAGCTCCTGGAGGTATTGAATTACAGGTGGATTACTGGGAGTGCATCGGGAAAGCGCCTGCGGGTGGTGTCGAAGCTGTTGTTACAGAGGAGTCTGAAGTTGATTGGCAATTGGACCAACGCCACCTCATGCTTCGCAGTACGAAGGGATGCAAAATTACTGCGCTGGTCGCCATAATCGGGGATGCATTCAGGCAACACTACAAAGATCGTGGATTCACCGAAGTGAGGGAGTGGAGTCTGAGATTTCTTGAGGGTGGCCAAGGGCAATTTTAACCGGTTGTTATTTTCTCTTAGGTTCATCCCCCAACGCTGGTGCAAACGCAGGTAGAGGGTGGCTCCACGCTCTTTAAGTTAGACTTTTTCGGTGAGCCGGCTTACCTGACGCAGTCGAGTCAGCTCTACTTGGAGACCTGCCTTCCTGTGGTCGGCGACTGCTACTGTATGGTGCGCAGCTATCGTGCTGAAAAGGTGAGGCCTTACCTGTTAGATTGGCTGAAAAGTGCGGGTTTTAGTTGCTCACAGCTGAGCATTTTCCCTGCGATATTCTAAGAAACTGGGAGCCCGGACCTGTGGCGAAAACTGCTGGGTTCCATTTAATTCAATGTTGAAGTAATTCAGGCGGAAAGGATGTCCGATTGGCCGAAATCATGTTGGTTGAGGTTGCGTTTTCGTGTCTTGGTGAATGGATTTATTAGAGCAATATATGTGATTAGAGAACGAGACATTGATTAGCACCTGGTTGGTGGGAATGGAGGCGAAGGTGTTTGTTTTCCCAGCCTTGCTTGCTCTCTGGCGCAAACGGCTTTCAATATCGCAACAATTTAGCTTACGTCATATATTGACAACCAACGATGGGGACTGACCCTATTCTTTGTGGCTGTCAGGGGTGCCGACTAGTTGGAGATTTTTATTTCGTTAGCTTGCTTACCAAACAGATTGTTAAGGGCATTCTGTATGACAGCAAGCGATAGCAGTGGGTAGTTTTTGTGGTATTTTAAGCTACCAACAAGTCCCCTGTCTATTTGCGCTTGCGAACCGACCAGGCATTGGTTGATGCCTGATTAGCAGAGAACAAGCGAAATCAAAGTCGATGGTTTCTCATAGTACTGTTTGCTATCTTTACATTGTAGCAAACAGTCTCCAAGATTCCAATACGTCTGTGGACTTTACCTGTTTTAGTTTCTTCTAGACATTTTTTTCTCAATTTTTAGAGCCGTACTCGTCGTCATTTGTCGGAGTACGTTCATATAGAAGCTGAGTCGCCATTCATAGAATTCAGTGATCTCCTCGACCAAATTGAGGATCTTGTCGTCGACGTCTTGGAACGTGTGATGGAGAAGGCTGGCGATTTGGTTCTTGCAATGAATCCTGTAGATGCATTTTTTAAACGTTGTCCCTTAGCGTTAGTGCATCCCTATCACTTCTCCCTCTCCCTCTTAGTCATTCAAGGTACCGAAGAAACCATTCAAACGTTTGGAATATCGTCAGGCACTGGTAGAGCTCGAAAAAATGGCGCTCTTCAAAGAGGGCACGGACCCGTTTGTGTTCGGCGACGATATTCCAGAGCTTCCTGAACGCAAGTTGACAGATAGTATGAACTGCCCCATCCTGATGATAAAGTTCCCAACAACGCTGAAACCCTTCTACATGCAACGTGTCAAGGGGGATCCAAGTGTGACTGAGTCGGTCGATCTTTTACTGCCTGGAGTGGGGGAAATTGTAGGCGGCTCGATGAGGATGCCCGAATACGATGGCCTTATGGAGGGTTACAAACGCGAAGGCATTGACCCCACACCTTATTACTGGTATACGCAGCAGGTGGGTGGCGATCCCTCAGCACAGTTTTTCCCCTCTTGTTGAGTTCTACGGATTTCCTTTTTTTTTTCAGCGTGAGTTCGGGACCTGTTCACATGGCGGCTACGGACTTGGTTTTGAACGGTTCTGCACCTGGATGCTAGGTCAAGACCACATCCGTGATGTCTGCCTGTACCCTCGTTTCACCGGTCGATGCAGGCCTTAGAGCTTGCCTCTAAGTGTTTCGATTCCCGTTAATTAAATAGAGCGCATTCGTAGCCATTGGGATGACGTCTTGTGGTGTTGGGGTTGTGGGCTCTCAGACCGCAACAGGGTCCTCCTACCTTGGGGCGGGGGTGCCGTTCTCGGCGTCTCCCGTGGTCTTTTATCCGTTGCAGCGAGGTTGTTTCCGGAGCTGGTGTGGGCGCCTCCCTGTTGCTGTTTGGCGTTCGTCCCTCTTTCGGTCTTTGTGTCTGTCTCACTCCCGCCCCCCGATTTCCTCTCTGCTGTTTATTCACTCCAATCACACCTCCGTGGAGGTCCGTGAACTGCGCCGTCACGGCAGTTATTGAGTCGTTAAAGTCTGAGTTTGCCTTAGTTAGTTGCGGGACTTGAGGTTCGAGGCACCTGCCAGCAGTGGCTTTGATGGCCTGTGAATCCCTGCATATTAGGCCATCCTCAATCTGCTCTGTGATGTTTACGTCGGGTGTGTGGTTAGGCGGGAACTCGTTTGTCGCTGCCATGGATTTTGCGCCTCGAGTCAGTCTGGAAGCAGGCGGGTTCCTGTCGCCAGTATGGCGATCGAATTGGAGGCTCTTAAGCGTTTGCGTGTTTGAATGCCAAACTAAAACAACCGTTGTTCCGCATTCCACCGCGAGATAAGCACGTGAATCTATCGATCCACTTGGATAATGTAGGTTTCTGAGGCAAAGTGGGGAATGTGGAGGGCCTTCTACCCGGCCGTTGGAGTGTTGCATCAGTTGTTATGGCTTGGGCTTCATTTTCTCACCGGGTTTTACTGGTCGCAGTACACTCTGGACGACAACAATCATTCCATGCCTTCGTCTAGCTCTGTGGACTACTCACTACCACTTCATTCACATAGTGAAAGCTACGGTCATGTTGCAGAGGCGACAACAAACGGGTCGGAGAGATTTGTTGTCAAACGGATAGATGACTACTCAAAACCCATGTCGATATCGTTGGAAGATGCATCCAAGGAGGACGAAGACCTAAATAAAAGGTGTCTCCAACGACTGAAAGAAGGTGTGAGAAGCTCTGTCGAAGACGAGGATTCGTCCTACCTCCTGATCGATAATCGGAAGGCGGCCAGATATGACTGCCGTCCACGAAAAGCCTTCACCTTCAAGTGCCGCAGTACAAAGTCTCCAATTCCATTTTCACCACGGCGTTCTCCCATAAAAGCCCCTCCAAATCGAAGCTACTTGATGAAACCGGAGAAGCCCGTTCATCGAGATGCAGGCTACACCAAACTCCGCAAGGGCTTAGAACAGGTCCGACCTTCGCCTTCACGCACACAATCTAGACAATCGTTTCAGGAGTCACCTCGTTCACGTTCAATGGGGGTGTTGTCAGAGGACATGCCAGTCTCGGGAATGCGTCAGGCAGTGAGGCTTGTCGACAAGCCGTTGAAGCATATCTTTGGATCGATCCATCAGGAGTTGAAACATCTCGATTCGTTTAGTTGTCATGACTCCCTCTGTGAAGATCGGCCTCATCGAAAGTGGTTCCCCGATTTTGAGAATACACCTCGCGAAGACTATTCAAACCCCCTGTCCGAGTCACCGAGATCACCCTCGTGCCGAGTGCTGAAACGCGATAAGCCCGATCGAAGATGGGGTAAGGGTACTCCGTGTTGTCGAAAGTAACCGAAGGAAGGTGTAAAAATAATCCCTACTTTTGTTCCCTCCTTTCCCAATTTTGTTGATTTGATTTCATTTGACCTCTTCTCTCCGCCTTTATTTGACTTTTATTGATTTGATTTGTGATATTTAATTTTGAGTGAGTTAAAAAAGTTGCTGATCTTTTGAATTGAGTGGTGAGGTGTGTACATGTGACCAATGGGGCGAAAGGTGGAGGTCTGTGCTTGACAATGGTGAAGAAGGCTCTAGAAGCGCGAGTGGAGGTCGATGTCACCACCACTTTAATTTCAGCATGCTTGCAAATCAAATTTTGCATGCGAGACAGTAAAGTGGCAAAAACCATCGGTGGGTGAGCTCGTACCGCAATGAGGCGGGTCCTGAATTTGCGTAACAGTAGTGGATGCGAATTTTATGTTGAAAACGGATTTTAGTAGGCTTCCTCTTCGCGGAGAGGGGGCCAAAATTAATTCGCGGGCGCAAGGGAGGTGGCCTGGAGGAGGAGGAGGAGGACTTGATGGGTATTTCAGCACGACGCTGCCCCAAAATGGAGACCACACAACCCGGAGGACTAGACCAACCAAAGCTTTGCATTGATCATATCACGTCGGCACGACTTGAGCACTCTCCACCCCGCCTCCCCGTTTGGCCACAGTGATATGGGGATGACTCAAGCGGACATGTCCAAAACAGCTCTATGATTAACTCAAGACTGCCCGCATCAGTTAAGGCGGTCGTGGCTCCGACACAACTGAAAGCCAGTTGAAAGACCACGACTGGATGGGTATTCTACACCCCCGCGGCTGCCCCGACTACGTTGTGCTTCCAGGTGGGAGTGTACGTACATACTACTTACTAACTGCTTATTAGCCTTGGCCGGCGTAGCTAAACATAGGCTATTGAACCACCACAGTGGAAACCATATCCAGTGATGATCTCATCTCCATCTCAGATCGTCGTGTGCTTGGACTGTCGGTTTCGGGGTGTAGAGCCGCCTCATAGTCGCCAGAAGCGTTTTGGACCGGGTCGAGGGGAGGGCGACCTAGCTGCTAACACTCGTGGCTAATGTATCATCCCCACCCCCTTCTTATCCACTTCAAGGAGGGATTTTCAAGTGCATTCACCTGATCGACGGGAAAGAAGGCCTTGGATGGTGGAAGGCTACTACAATGTGAATTTAGGGTCTCGGCAGGGTCGAGAGCAACGGTTGCTGAATCACCGCGTGTGAGTGTGGGATTCAAAGGCCCCTGATTGGCTCCTTTGCATTGTGTTGAACACGTGCTGCGATTTGGCACGCTCCCTTAATCTGGCATCCACGGCTTGTCCAAAAAGTCCTCCCAACACAGTGTTTCCGCAACCCACGAGAGAGGCTGCGTGAGTCCCTCGCCCCCCTACTTTAGGTGCACCGACGAGCCGGATGCCTCCTCGACAGTGAAACTTTACGCCATCGTCTTAGAAGAGGAGGGGAAGGGGGCAAACATAGGGAACTGAATACCCCCCCTCCTCCTCCTCCTCCTCCTGTTACCTTTCTGCTGCTCAAGACCGCAGAAGAAGCCCTTTCCTGTCTAGAAGGAAAGGTTATAACTTCATGACATCCCAGGGATCGGTATTTTGACCATTCTTTGTGTTTTGCGAATACCTTGAACTTGCAAAACAATTTCTTACTTTGTGTTTCAACACCCACATGATGAAATGATAGTCGCCGTCACGCGACCCCACAGTCCTGGCACCTGACTGATACAGTAGCCTCCTGCGTCTAACTCACCAACCAACCAATCACGGTGCAGGTCGCAATGGGAGGCGTTCGGCAACACCACAATGAATGGATTGTATTTTTTTTCCAAGATTTCTAATTAAAAGCTGTAAATAAAAGACTCGAAGTTTGGAATTACTGACAAAGTAGGGATCTTCGAGGTGACTTATGATTGGTTGGAGGCGTGAGGAGACTTGACGGCATTACCGTTGTTGAGTCGGCAAGGTGCGCAAGTTGATTCGGGGTGGTTGGAGCCTCCTGATAGACTGAGAGGGTTTTTTGCAACTTCTGTGGATGCTGGGATTAGAACTCTTTCCTTGAATGGCTTTGGCGGTACATAGATGAATGCGTCGGTGCCGGGTGTTGGCTTTATATGGAAAGGTGGGTCTAGGGCATGTGATTTTGGTTCACAAAGGGGCCAGGGTTTGGCGATTTTCGGTGAAACTGGACAATATGATTTAGCTCGTGGGAGAAAGCCTGCTTGAAAAATGGTGTCTGCTATTCGAACGGCGTTTTTGACCACATAGTGGGCCTCACAACGGGCGAGGTCGTAGTAGGGCCACATAGTTATTCCAGAAGGGCTGTCGAATTGTTGTTTTGCTTCGGCTGTGGTGTTGTCTGCTTTTGGTCTTGTTGGAGGCTCGGAATCGCTGGAACTGCAGATTTTCATCTTCTACGCAAGGTGGGGAGTTGGGGCTGGCAACTTACGCTGTTGATTAAAAAACGTGGTTGTCACGTGCCTGGTTCCGGACTGATTCAGCTGTGGAGTTTTAGAGGGGTCCACTTCGTTCCGATTTGCTATATAGATGTTAATATTCTAGGCATCGTAGTTATGGCTTGAGTATTCGCTAGCTTGATTAAACTGCCTACCCAAGGGAACTTATCGACTAAACCATTGACCATTTATGATCATCCCTTCGTCCAACCTATCTGTAATTGGGTAGACGGTTGGCTCCTCCACCTCGGCCTTTATTCCCTTGGCAGGAGTAGGATGGCTAGAGGAAGGCGTTAATCAGGGTTAAACGTACACTTCTTTCTCCTCCACCTCCTCCTTGAGGTCAGATATCGTCCGCTCCGTAGCGTGATTCGCGTTCCTTACCACCGTTACCAGCCATCCTGTACCTTTTCCCGCATTTCTTTCCTCCAGTCACCTCGGGTCTACCCATTTTATGGCCAGCAATGCCTCCTTCTATCCATTGGCACTGCCTATCTCTCCCTGGCTTCGTCCCTTTCCCTTATCGGCGATACTGCTGCCACGTGAGATTGACCATCTTGGTCACGAAAAGCAGGACAGGGAGAGCACACACTATTGCCTTCCTGCCCAATTCCGTGTTTCATTTGAGTCGTGCTTTTACTTCGCTGCTACTATGACTGCATGATATTTCAGACTTCTCATGAACTCAGGCTGCTTTAGACTAAACCTCCAGTTTGATCTCAGGTTATTTATTTTGTCTCCGACTTCGGATAAGCCTACCACAAAGAAACTTCCCCTCAATCCGAAGTTCTGCTATTCTGTGCATTAAGGAGGTGGCTACATCGTCACCACTCATCAAACGTACTTTTTTCGCTTATTAGGGTCTGTCGTAGGAGGGAATTGGGGCCAGATAAGAGGGGTTGGGTTGGCCACATCTAATTGGGTCTCGTGACTACTTAAGTCTAGTTAACAGAGGTAATGTTTGTAAAAAATTACGCCAAGGAGGAAGAAGCAGACCTTTCTCAGACTCGGGGTATCGTAGACGGTGAGTGCGCATGTGTACCTGCAGCCCAGGTAAATCCCTGTGCCCTTGCTAGTTATTCACTAGGATGGCTGGTGTGGTTTGTTCCATGAGCGGAGTACCTCAAGGGGATCGGGTGGAAGTTGTCACTGAGTGAAGAAAATACGGGTTTGTGTTTTACGCTCCCATTTAGATGCAGGCTCGATCATCCCTGCAGTCCAAAGTACTCACTACTCACGGTTAACTGGAACTGGATCGCTCCAAGACGTATGTGATCGATCGTTGGCATCCGTAGAAGGTAGATGTGAGCGCACAATACTGCGAATAGCACCATCAAAGCAGCCAATCTTTTCTTAAAGCAAGACAGAATGATGGTCGCGTTTTAAAGCACAAATTTAATCCACTCCGGGCTAAAATTATGTAACAAGCCCAGAAACCCTCACATTGAGACTTTATTGGCTTCTAGCCCATTGGGTTTTGCAAACAATTCGCAGCAAATAAAGCTTGCCACGCGATAGCATTGCAACATTTGTGACACCCATTACTCACGTTGTAAAATACACGCTACTTTGAATGGTAAGTAGGCTAAACTTTATTAAACCGCATAAATTGTGGATTTTAGGTATCCTGTGGTGCATGTGATCACCAACTTGATCGATTTTGACATCGCGTGACGACACATTCAAACCCTACTCCTGTGGTCCAAAAGAGATGTCAGTGTTTGAAATGGACAGGACCTTGTGTAACTCGCCCACTGCCGCCCCTAAGGAGGATCTCTGTCGGCCGAAACAGAACTACGCTCAAGCTGCGGGAGGCGGAAACAATCCCTGCGAGATGCAACGCCAACAGAGGCCTCAATATATGCCCCAACAGCAGCAACAGATGGGCTGTTACAATTCCAGGCAATATGCATCCTCCCCCTATGGTGGTGGTGGCGGTGGTCCCTGCGGTCCAGATTATGGAAGACAGCAAGCTTCTGCTGGTGCTGGAGGCTACTGCTATGGTGGACAGACGAACCCAGGCAACTTCTGTTCACCACGACCGCAACAGTCACCAGGAAACTTTTATGGTGGAAACATGTACGGCAACCCGTGTCAACCACCTCCGCAACAGGTTGGAGGCGCATGCGCCCCGCCCTGTCCTCCACCTCCAAGCACCGCAGTTACCTGTCCTCCTGATTACTGTGAGCCGAGGGACCCAACAAACACTGGTCCTATGGCTCTTGTCAATTTAACTCAAAACACAGCTGGTCTGGGATTCCAATCGTGTCAAAAGGGACCGAAGGGCGGTGTAGACAACAGCCCTTGTTGGGGAATGGGCTCTGGAGGTCAAGGGATGAAACAGAAACCCGTAGCGGAACTCGATTTATCTGGTAACGTGGATGAAAAGGCAAGACAGAAGGCTGAATTGAGAATCAAGATGCTGATTCGCGATGTTCTCGGTCCGGAGATCCAAAGGAAGGAGAAGGAGATTGAGGATAACGAAAAGGCTAATGAACAACTTTTTGCAAACTACCGCGCAGCGAATGCTTTCAAAGACGGCTGTCTGAACTCCTCGGTGTTTCAGCGCAAACCCATTAGAAACTACGAGGTTTGCGAAGAGGAGATGATTAAGCGACTAAAGGGCATAAATTCGTGTGGAAAGGAGGCTGCACCCTGTCCGAACTTTAAGGAGAAGAAGCAAACCCTACTGGATTCAATCTCTGAGAGTTATCAATACCTTGATTCGTACAAGAGAGCTCTGGAGAGGAGTAATGCTGCCTTAGCGCCTGGTTGTCAACAACAAAATGCATCCTTCCTCCAGACTACTCAAAATTGGATCGACAATGGTTTATTTTCGCATGAAGAATTAGTCTGCCTTGTTGCGAAGGCCCAAGCGGCAATGAATCGCTGTAAACAATAGAGGTGGCAAGAAGGAAAAATAACCTACTTTAAAAATGTGAGTAGCATTCTTGATTTCCTGGCATAGAACGCGCACCCATGCGACGGTGGTTGATTAATCCACTCCCCTCTACCGCTTGCTTCCCCTGTAGATTCATTATCCGCGATATTGAAGCAACGCATAGCCATCGAATGAACATCCGAAACAATAAATCATTCGAAATTTAAAGCTTGTTATTTGCCGTAGTTGGGGAAGGGGAGTCGACAAAACGTAGGCGAAGAGGTGGCAGATAAATCAAGACATAGCTGAGAGGTTTCATTTTTTTAGCACGATTAAACATGTCTTAATTTCATTACCCTAGCCCTAGAACCTAGCATAAGAATTAGCTCATTTCACCAGCAAGAGATATGGGGTTGATACCACTAAAAATGTAAACTTCGATGATCCTACCAAACACAAACCCCCATTGCTGAATTAGCTCCCCTCCCCCATTCCTTTAACCTTTCTGCAAGATTAGATTGGCATTTTAGACTTCTGGTTTGAGGTCGTGTTACTTAATTCAGAGGCAATAACCCTACCTTCAGACCGAAAGGCCATGATAGGTCTCCGAGGTCAACACGAGCGCTACGATGGTGATAGTGACAAAAGAAGTCGATGCTACAAAAGAGCAACACTTCCCTCATTTCGTGTCCAAACAAGACAGACGGGAGGTGACTACCTAAAATGGGTGCTTGCACGAGGAAGCGAAGTAGAACAGCTGTCGAAACCGTGCCGACCTTCCGTGACTACTGCAGCCTCAAATTCCGCTTAGTAGTACGCATCTAGGCGAAGGGATTGAGGGCGTCTGCATCAAAATATTCGACTATGAGGATTGTGTAGATAGATAATACTTCCTTGCGTTCCATAGCGTTGAGAGCAGACAAGATGAATCATCCAGCAGTTTTGAAATGGGTATGAAGTGAATAGAATAAAGGGATGTCGAGCACAGCTTCTTGAAGCTACCTGGGTAAGTTGCTTTCAGACTAGTGCTCCTTCTACGAAGAAAAGGAGCTACGTTAGAATTTAAATTCGCCAAGCCGTTAACTAACATTAAAGTTTTTGCTGACAAGATAATAGTAGAACTTAAAAAAAAGAGATTAGCTACTAACTGGTATAAAGAATGCCGCTGATGCAGGCAACCACAAAGAACAAATTTAGTCATTCGTGAGTGGCACAATCTCAGCTCTGGAGTCTAGACCATGCAAAACCACAGTCCAGTACCGTTTCCAACCTGATCCCGCAGTGCAAAGGAAACACGACTTTCAAACCCTCGGTGTTATTGATCACGTCCAATCACATGTCTCGGCGTCACTTGTTTGAGTTTGGCGGATACGGGGGTAGCGCCAATGGATAACCGAGGACCGTCAGTATTTCGAGTTGAAAAGGCCTTCGACATGCGCCCAGGATACCAGCCAGCGGAAGCCACCCTCAGTGTTGTCTACAACACCACAAATACAAACAGCACGGAGAACGCAAGCCCTGAAGCCCAGGAAGCAATCGCGACAAGCCAAGCGCCGCTAATAGTCAATCCTGTTGATCCCGAAGCCTCAATAGATAAGAAATCAACTAAAGAGATGGTTCTCGAAACTCCATCCGCTTCAAATAGGTCCTCGGTTGAAAAGGAATGTCTTAACAGGAGTTCAATGTCTAGCGTATGCACTGATCAGTGTCAAGTCAATCAGGATAAGCTGAAGAAACCAGAAGAACCATGTGAAAGACTCCAGAGTCAACGATCCTCCATCTCTCAACCGCCACCACCATCTCCAGAGGGGGCGTCGAACGAGATGAAGAGCGGTGGGGAATGTCAAATCAAATCCAGCACAGATTCACTGATAGAACGATTTCAAACTCAATGCTTTCAGTCCCGACGTGATGATGAGATGATCTTCGATACAGGAGTCTACCGCGATCGCATTAATGGCAAGTTCCCCGAGGATGAATATCCGCCATGTCGACTCTACACCATGGACAGAAGAAATGGAGCAATCAACATGGTGTTGGAGACCATGCATAACATTGAAGCGCACATCATGTGTGGTTACGTGAAGGACCAACACGACAAGTGCAAGTTGCAAGAGATGCTGCTTAAAGCAAGACAAATTATAGGTCCGAACAGACAAACCTCACTCACTTATGTTGAGACAAAGGAGATCATGAGACTGCTCTGCACAGCTAAAGCTTATGTGATAAATGGATGCGCATCAGAGTGCTGCATTAATCAGTGCAACCACCGACCAAAATGTTGAGAAATGGCTAGTGTCTTAGTTTAAACAAGAAACACAAGAGCGTGTCAACATGTCTAATACAGATATATTAAAAAAAGGAGAACTAAGACTTCTATTAATTGACGGAGGGAAAGAGAGGGGAGGCGTGTTAGCATCTGATAGCCGTTCCGATTGCCATAAACATGCCAAAGGTTCCACCTCCTTGAATCATGCCTTTTCCGACGGTTTGAATGAGTTCACGACCCCGAAAACCATATCTAGAGAACTAAAAGATTAACCTTCACTAACCGTAGACAACTAAAACCACCGAATATGGCTCCAGTAGCCATTCCAACACAAAAGCCCATTAAAAATCCCATTTTTATGCGTTGAAAACAGGATGGTTGACCAGGTTGTCCGAAAGCACCACCGCTGGGGATGGGCATGGGCTAAAAGATTAGCGGAAATTCAGTTATGGATCTTGTGAATAGAAAACAAAAAAATTATGAGAAGAACTAGCATATTAGGAACAATTTATTGAGAATCGGGTAGAAACAAGGAGCGAGCAGGTGAAATTGCCATATTTAGCCACCAAAAAACCTGAAAAGATAAAAATAACGACAATTCCCAGAACCCACGTGAACATAAGAACAATAAGTAATAGGTTCCAAATTCCGATAAAAAGTCGGAAGTAACGGACGTTGTAAATAAACTCCTTTGTTTTTGAAGCTAGAATAGAGTGAAATGATGACAAAACTCGCCTACCAAAGCTTGAGGACTCTTCATCAAATATAGGATCAGGCTTTCTAGGCATACAATTAGTAATAAAGTGATTTTACAAGTTGAAGTTCAAGATGGCAACTCCATTGAAGAAAAGGGTGCTAGAAAGGAGAATAAGGAGAAAGCAGAAGGACAAACCTCGCAACAATAATATCGGACAGCATACAAAAAAGATTGCCAACAATAAACCCACCGGATCTCAAACGCACCGCTTTTGACTAGGAGTTACGTAACAATCATCCTCCTGTATTCATTTATGAAATCCATCAAGAAACTATCAGTATGCCCATACTACCTTCGTAAATTAAACAATCTTAGACAAAAAAACCCATTAGACTAAAACAACTG